GAGCTGTGGGGGAGAAGCAGTGTGGGGGCTCTGGCAACCCTGTGCGGGAAGGCAGGGGGTGGCATTGTGGGGAAGGGGCAGAGGCAGAGCTGTGAGGAAGGGGCAGTGCTGAGGGGCTTTTTTCTCTCTAATGTCTGTTCCTGTTCCTCCTCAGGGATCATTCACCAGATGAAAGGCGACTATGACTCTGCCCTGAAGCTCCACAAAACTCACTTGTGCATTGCGCAGGAGCTGAATGACTATGGTGCTCAGGGCAGGGCCTATGGCAACATGGGCAATGCCTACAACGCCCTTGGCATGTATTTTCAGGCTGTGAAATACCACCGGCAGGAGCTGCAGATTTCGATGGAAGTGAATGATCGGGCCTCGCAGGCATCCACCCATGGGAACTTAGCAGTGGCCTACCAGGCATTAGGTGCCCCTCGGGCCCTCAGTAACCTGGGGAACTTCCATTGCTCACGAGGAGAGTATGTGCAGGCAGCCCCTTACTATGAGCAATACCTGCGCCTGTCCCCAGAGCTGCAGGACATGGAGGGGGAGGGGAAAGTGTGCCACAACCTTGGCTATGCCCATTACTGCCTGGGGAACTATGAGGAGGCTGTAAAGTACTACGAGCAGGATCTGGCCTTAGCAAAGGACCTGCATGACAAGCTGAGCCAAGCCAAGGCCTACTGCAACCTGGGCCTGGCGTTCAAGGCCCTAATGGACTTCAGCAAAGCCGAGGAGTGCCAGAAGTACCTGCTGTCTCTGGCCCAGTCTCTGAACAACTCCCAAGCCAAATTCCGGGCACTCGGGAACCTGGGAGATATTTTTATATGTAAAAAAGATGTCAGTGGTGCAATAAAATTCTATGAGCAGCAGCTGAGCTTAGCCCATCATGTCAAAGACAGGAGATTGGAGGCCAGCGCCTATGCAGCCTTGGGCTCTGGGTACAGGATGATACAGAAATACGACAAGGCCCTAGGGTACCATACACAGGAACTGGAGGTTTACCAGGAGCTAGGGGATCTGCCGGGTGAATGCAGAGCCCATGGCCACCTTGCTGCAGTCTACATGTCCCTTGGGAAATACACCATGGCATTCAAGAGTTACGAAGAGCAGCTGGAACTTGGACAGAAGCTAAAGGACCCCAGTATAGAGGCCCAAGTCTACGGCAATATGGGCATCACCAAGATCAACATGAATGTCATGGAGGAAGCTATTGGGTACTTCGAGCAGCAGCTTGCCATGCTGCAGCAGCTGAGTGGAAATGAAGCTGTCCTGG